GAAATTCATTCCCAAACAATTTAACTGTACGTGCAATTGTTATATGTTTTCCTTCATGATGTATTCTATAACCTTTGGATCTGTAATCATATTCAACGAACACTCCTACTTTTGATTTATTATGAAGTTTTGTACGTTTGGTCTTTTCAATGTAGGTGTATGATTTACAGTCAAATACTTCAATGTGAGATAAATCTGGTTTTTAATTTGTCCATAATTGATACGGTGTAAGTTTGTTTGCTTTTGTCTCTAGTCTGTTTTACAGATAGTTAGCTGTGTGCAATGCCTCTACCCGGAAATGATTTGGAAGGTTTGCCTGAGTTAGTAAAGCTCTAACCATTTCAATTAATGATCTATTATTTCTTTCAGCAACGCCATTTTGACTGAGCGAATATCGTACTGTTACTTGATGGTTAATCCCCGTTTCTCTTAAATAGTTTTCTGTTTCTTTGTTGAGGTATTCCCTACCATTATCAGTTCGTAAGTTTTCGGGTATCTTGCCAAATTTATTTCCCACCATGGCTATGCATTGTTTAATTTTAGTTAGCGCTTCGGATTTTTTTGATAAAAGGTAAACAAAGGAGTATCTACTGTAGTCACCAATTAAAGTTAAAAAGTATGATATTCCTCCTATCGTCGGAGTTTTCATTGAGTAGCAGATATCACTGTGTTTAAGTTCAAGACATTTAGTAGCTCTATTTTGCGTTGATTTAGGATACGGATTGTCTGTGAGTTTACTTTGTACACAATTTTCTAATAAATTATTGTGTTTGCATTGACTTAAGTCAATTCCGGTAGCTATATCATTTAATTTCAATTTTTCGATTGAATTATAATTCTTATGCCCTAGTCTTCGGTGCCAAATTTCTATAGCAAATGTTGGTTAATTTAGCATACTCTTGAGTTGCTTTATAATTTAATTTCACTTCATACAAATTATTTCTTTTTATTCCCTCTAAATAAATTTCCTGATCATGAATTATCATGCATTTGTTTTCGCTAAATGTTGCAGTGCATCCGTTTTCTGTTGCTTTAGTAACTGACAGAAGATTAGTTTCAATGTCTGGTACATAGAGGACATTTTTTAGTGTTATTTATTTTATGGTTTGATGTCTTAGTTATAATTTCAACTTCGCCCGAGCCGTTTGACATCAGTGTGTTCCCATTTGCTATAGTGAGTTCACTTTTGTTTGTGTCAGTTATTTTAATAAATGATTCCAGATTGCTGAACTACCAGAGTTGTGATGAACTACCAGAGTCAATAATCCAGTTTTCTTTATCTGATTTCGAAGTTAAGAAAGTTAAGTTACTCATTTTATTTTCCACTTCATTTCCACTTTGGGTATTGCTCTTATAGTTGTTCTCACATCTAGTATTTTCACATAGGGAGGTTGAGTTTCTTTTGTTTGGGTGTTGTTTTGACTTTCGGTAAATGAGAGCTTTTTTCAAATCCCAACTATCAGCATTATTGTGATTTCTAAGCTTGTAATATGTGCAATATTTATAACTTTCCGTCTTATAATTATTATTATATTTCTGTTGATTTGAAATGCTTTGTTTGGATTTTCCGACGCGTAGTTATTTTCTGTTCTTCTATTACTTCGTCAACTAGCTTACTTCTTATAAATTCGGAATTTAATTCTCTTTCGGGCCTAGCTTCGAATACTGTTATGAGTGTGTCATAGCTTTGTGGTATTGAGCATACTAAAATCGCTGATAAATGAGAATCGCTAAATTTTTCACTCATTGCTTTAAGTTTGTTTGCTATCTCTAAAATTTTAGTTATGTGAGTTATCATATTTCCTCTAATTTCGTATTATTAAGTTTTCTTAACAAAAATAATTTGCTTGATCAGTTGCTTCTTTCGTGTATTAATTTTAATGCATCCCAGCAGTTTCTTTTTCACGGACGGGAACTATTTGATTATCATCAATGCACAAATTTATTAGTGCGTGGGCTTTTTTATCTTTTTTACTCCAATCTGCTGTAATGGAATTTGGAGGTGTATCTGTTACAATTTCATACAATTACTCTTTAATAAGTAGCGTTGACATTGTTATTTCTCTTAACACAAGACTCAAAACACATATTAATGCAGCGGACTGTTATTTTATTTGCACATTGAATTCACACACTCAGGTAGCTAGCTCAATAGCTCTCGTTGCTTTGCACAGAGGGCGCTGCTCGCACACAAAACTGAACATATCGCCATATTCCTTTTATATGATCGGTTTTATTCATGTTTGACTTGGTTTTGGGTCATGTTTCAACTGTAAATTTTATTCCAGTTTGTTCCTTATGTAATCTTTTACTTTTATGCATTGCTTTTACCACGCACGATATGGATGTTTTATTCACTTTTATGTATATATTGTTTTTACTCTTTTAATTATNTTGTCCTCACCATAATACAGTTGAACAATACTGCCCAATGCCCATTTATAGGTTGGTAAATTTTCTTCAATTATCACTACCAAATCTCCGATTTTAACATTATTTTTTGGGAACATCCATTTGCCTCGTTGTTGCAATTGGTTCAAATAGTTACGACTCCATAATTTCCACATTAATTGAACTACTCTTGTTATTTTTTTCCATTTTTTGAGATTACTTTCTTTATATTTTGTTAAATCTGGCTCTTCAATAGAATTTAAAGATCTGCTTAATAAAAAGTGTGCAGGGGTAAGAACTTCAAAATCGTTATCATTGGCTGATAAGGGACAAAGCGGTCGGGAATTCATAATTCCCTCGATTTGTACAGTAATCGTGTGAAGTTCTTCGTAAGTTAGTTTATCCCTTTTACAATCCTTTTTAGGTGATATTTACACGATTTTATAGCTGCCTCCCAAAGGCCACCAAAGTTGGGAGAACTGGGCGGAATGAATTTCCATTCAATCCCTTCTGCTGCCAAATAAGCAGCTAAACTTTCGTCTGGTTTCCTAACCATTTCATGCAGCTTTTTAATCTCATTGTTAGTTCCCACAAAATTTTTAGCATTGTCTGAAAACAATTTTGCACATTTTCCTCTTCGAGCCGTAAACCTTTTCAACGTGGCAATGAATGCTTCCGATGTTAAATCAGAAACTAACTCGATATGTACAGCCTTAAACACAAAACAAACAAATATACATATATACACTTTATACAAAACAAACAAATATACATATATACACTTTATACGAAACAAACAAATATACATATATACACTTTATACAAATTCCCTTTACGTTGTCCTCTATTGTTAATGAAGAAAGGACCAATGAAATCAACACTTGAACAATTAAATGGATAATCAGGTACAAGCCTTTCTTTTGGCAGGTTGCCCATTAACTGACTTGACACTATTGGTTTTGCTTTAAAACAAGTTATTCAGTTATAGACAATTTTTCTACAAATTGATCGACCACTTAAAGACCAAAACTTTTCACAAATATGATTAAGTAGAGATGCAACTCCTATTATTATTAAAGTTAACTTATTATTCTTGGGTAAAATTACCTGATGCTTCTTATTAAAATTAAATTCTGTATTACCTAAGCGACCACCAACTCTTAAAATGTCATTGTCATCCGAAAAGGGACTAAGAGTTTTTAACTTACTGTTTGATGGTACACTTCCAGATCGTTTAATGCTTTTTATTTCAAAAGAAAATTCTTGTTCCTGAACCTTTTTTACCAGAAAGGTTTCTGCTCTTTCATACTCACTTGTTGTTAATGGACCCGTTGATTTCTGCTTCGTTTTTACAATTTCCACGAACCTAAAAAGAAAACTCACAACACGTAAAATAGTTAAATAGTTATTGCTTAAATTAATTAAATCATTTATAAAATTATTAGTATGGATATTAAGCACAGACGGAAAGTCCTCAAAGTCTCCATTGGGGGAGTTTCTCAGTTCTGAATAGTACTCATCGTGTTTCTCACTATAATTTATAGTTCGATTTAGATAGTCATTTTCTGTAAGAAACTTCGGACCATGCCACCGAAGGTTGTTATGCAGAAGTTTATCAGGATCAACACCTCGTGAAACTAAGTCTACAGGATTTTCATCAGTTGGTACATGTCTCGATCGCTGATTAGGAAATAGTTCTTGTATTGTGGTCACTCTGTTTTAGACAAAGGTTTTTAAATCTATGGGTTCTTTTTGAAACCACGCTAGAACTATCATAGAGTCTGTTCACAGGTATATTTCAACAGTTTCTAACTTTAACGCAGAAACAACACGTTTCACAAGTTTTGACAGAAGAACAGCAGCACATAACTCAAGTTTTGGGATAGTTACACTTTTTATAGGTGCAATTCTTGATTTGCTGGTTATCAAACTAACCAAAGTCTCGTTCATTGAATTTTTAGATTTACAGTAGACTGCTGTACCTTAACATTGCTGCGATGCATCAGCGAAGCCATGGATTTCTACACCTTTTGGAATAGTGATGAAGATGCTTCTTATAATCTCTATATTGTTGATGATCTCTAAGGACACTAGAAATTGATGCCACTCTCGATATTCTTCATCTGGTAAAGAGTTATTCCAGTCCATTTTAATTCTCCACAAACGCTGAAGGAAAATCTTTGCCTTTGCTATTACCGGCGCCATTGGACCAATCGGGTCGAAGAGCTTGGCAATAGTGAACAAAACGTCACGTTTTGTGTAAGAATTCTCCGAGGAAACCCTTACTCTGAATAAAAAACAATCTAAAATTGGTTTCCAGGATACACCTAAAGTTTTTATCTCTATTAACGTTGCGAAATTATAATCACATTCAGAATCTGGTGCTAGTTTCACGTGATTGGCGCAGAGCTTGTGTAGTGTCATGTCAGCACTTTGCAAAATCCGTTTTAATTGTTGCTTGAGCTCAATTGATTCCTCTAATGTGTCAGCACCGGACAAACAGTCATCCATATAAAAATTATTTTGTAGGACGGGAGAAGCCATGGGGAAATCGGTTTGTTCGTCAACTGAGAGCTGTTTAAGCGTTCTTTGCGCTAAGTAAGGTGCGCTTACCGTGCCGTAAGTAACGGTAAGCGCACCTTACGTATATTTTTGTTCGTATATTTTTGGCGGTTCATCTTCATTTTCACACCAAACGATTCTCTGAAGATTACACTGATTTGGATTAAAATAGTTCGATACATCATTTTGAGATCAGCTGTAAAGGCATATGTATATGTGCGGAACCTTAGCATTTGAGTATATAAGTCCTCCTGAATCACTCCTCCATTATACTGAAAATCATTAAGAGATATTCCCTTATCAGTTTCTGAAGAACAATTAAATACAACACGAAGTTTTGTCGTGGACTTTTCTGGACGATAAATTCCATGATGTGTAGCATAATATGTTACTTCTGGTTCAATTTCCCTAGTAACCTCTCTCATGTGTCCCAGTTTTTCATACTCTTCTAAGAAATCACGATATAAATTCAAATAAATCTCATCTTTAGCTAAGCGATTCCACAGCGATCTGAGACGTTTGAGGGCTATATCTTTAGAGTTTCCTAAACATGAGGGATCTTCCTTTAGGGGCATTGAAACAACATATTTCCCTTCCCTAGTTCTGAAATGAGTATCCGCAAAGTGTTTCTCGCAAATTAAATTTTCTTTACTCTTTGTTATTGTTTCCTCGACATTTTCTATTTGCCAGAAACTTTCCAGCGTTTTAAGTCCTCATCACGAATCAAACCACAGTGAATCCTTGTTTCATTTATTGAAACTAAATTTCCGGTCACTACATACCCAAATACACTATTGACCAAAAGCAATTGCGAATTTTTTATTTTAATTCTTTCCGACTTTATCAATTCGTAAAATATATTTGCACCCAATAATAAATGTATTTTTCCCGGAATATTAAATGTCTCATCTGCTAATTACACGAAATTTGAAAAATCGACATTTATATTTAAAGTTTTATTCGGAATAAATTCCGTGATTTTTTTAACTATGAGCATATCTGATTCTCTTTCAAATTATTTGTTTTTATTTGAAATCGCCACTTTAACATACCCATTAACCATCATAGAAGTATCGTTTAAACAAGAAATCAATGTATTTATTTTTTCACTCTTTAGTTGCAATTTATTAGCACATTAATTTGAAATCAGACAGGTCTCACTACTAGAATCTAGTAACGCTCTACACATTTGCCATTCCGAATATTTATTCTTCACGAGGATTAATGCCGTACTTAATAAGCATTTGTCTTTAAAACACGCGGTCGCCACAATTTGAGTAGTGTCTACTCTCGGAACGAATGATTCAGCACTTACATTAAACGCTGTTGTTTGTGATTTATTTTGATCATTAATTGGCGCCATATTGGGAGTGGAGGAATTGTTTTTAATTTCTCTCGGATAATGTAAAAGCTTGTGATGAGCCTTTTTACATCGAAAGCAGTTTCTCATTCTGCATATATTAACTTCACATCTGGGGGAAAACAAAGTCTATTAATTTTTACAAACTTTACTCTTTCGTATACTTCCTCGACATTCTTTTAAATTGTGGGCAAAATTGCAAAGCGTGAGATTCATTGTTTTTACATAATACACAGTTCTCATTTTTTATTTCAGATAAAAATACATTTGTTGCTCCTCTCTGTACACTCGAATTATTAACTCTATTTTGTTTATTAAATTCGTAACCCTTAGTATTTGCACTGAAAGATTTCGAAAATATTTCATTTTTGTTTTTGCCTTTCGAAGATAAATAAATATCACACTCAGGCCCTAATTCATGGGGTTTAGAATACTTTTCTCCCTGTTTTACACTAATATGAGTCATCAATTCTCTATCGAGAGTACTCATTATTTTATCTGATACTATTAACTCACAGACGGATTTAAAATCATTTACATTACGTAATTGGCAATAATATTCAAACGTTGCACTTAGCCTTGACGCAAATTGTACATAATTCTCTGAACTTATTTTGTGTGCTCTTTGGAATTTACTAAAGCATTCTTGTGGTGTAGGGGAAAATTCTTTTAGCACTAAATCTTTCAGTTTATCGTAATTAGTTAACTCTTCATCGGAAATGTGAACCGTTAAATTGTTAGCTCTCTCACCAAAATATTTAAAAGAATTTCGCATTTAAATTCGTCAGGAACCTCCTTTGTTTTGAATGCTTTTTCCAGCAACTGAAAAAATAAATTATACGATTCTACTCGTGAGGGTACTGGTATAGTTAAGGTTTTTACCGATTTTAATAAAGTTTCGATATTAATATTATTCGGATTCTCAGAAACACTTTCTTTTGCGATTACGGAATTATGCGGTAACTTTTTTTAAACATTAGCTAGCGCTAATTGTTTTTCTAATTGCGCTAATTTAATTCTCTCAAGTTCTAATTTAGATTCACTATCGGACTTTTTATTTTTTACTTCCTCTATAGCATAATCCAGTGCGCATTTAAATAGCTCTTGATCTCTTTTATACACTTCGCTGATTTCAATTAAAGTTTTTAAATCGGCAATTTTTGCACCCTCCGGTACAGTTAAGTTTAATTCTTCTGCGATGAGTGTTAATTCGTCTTTCTTTAATTTAGTCAAAGACATATTTATAGTTTAATTCACCTAAATATAAATTTAACTTTCACCTACCTTCTCAGATCGCTGTTAGACACACTTAAGTTTCAGTTTCGTTTCTCAATCGAACACGTATACATTTCACTGACTCTTTTGCACTAACTTTAGCTTAATTTTCACAAAATTCGCTCGTCCGTAGATCGCTTAGACCATGTTATTTCTCTTAACACAAGACTCAAAACACATATTAATGCAGCAGACTGTTATTTTATTTGCACATTGAATTCACACACTTGCCTCTTTCGAGGTTGGTAATACACTCACAGGCTCTCGTTGCTTACACAGAGGGCGCTGCTCGCATACAAAACTGAATAGACATTTTAATACTCCAATGACTATAATTTTGTTGCTTAAGTTTTTCTATTAATTGAGAGTCTCTTGATGAAGCCATTTTTAATTTTATAAAATAATAATTGCTTATGTTTAGAATTTCAGCCAATATTTCTATTTTATATACTCATTCACTAATTAAGAAAATGTAAACACTTTTATTTATTACACTAGACTTTCATTTTCATATATTTATTTTTATATTTATATTTCTTAGCAAATATATAGAGTTATAGTCTTGTATATTGCTATTTGATAAGTGTGCTATAATCTATCTTATTATATAAAACGCTAATACGTATGTAACAATAAAATCGATGATATTTCTTTTCTCGCTTTGGCAACAGTTTTCGTTTTTAATTGATAGGCTTCGGGGCGCAAGAGCACGTTGTGAGCATCATATGGCTAATCTATATTATATAAAACGCTCATACGTTTTATTTGATAATCTTCGGCTCGCAAGAGCACGTAGTGAGCATATGGCTAATCGGGTGAATTCTCACTGAATTATAAAAAAAATTCTCACAAAATTATCTTCATCGAAGCCGATGCTTTACATCCGGCGTTCAGTAATATTTCATATTGTTTTACAACACATGGTTTTAGCCCTCTGGTGGGAAAGACTCTAAAGCAAAACTTACAACAGTTACTTTCCTCAACAACTGAAATTTAGAATAGTGTGATTAAGAAAAATATGTGAACTGTTTGCAATTATAAATTAATATTGAAATGCACAGGTTTAGAATTTTCTACAGTGAAAAGTTTTCGGAACTTCAGTGTTCAAAAAAGTATACAAAAGCTAGACGTTAAGAACGTATCCAATGAGCGAGCAAAGCGAGCATCGGATTGCGAAGCAATCCGAAATGAACTGCGAAAGCAGTTCCGGGGGTTGGCGAGCGCCAGCGAGCAGGGGGCGAAGCCTCCTAGTATTATATAAAACGCTAATACGTATGTATCAATAAAACCGATGATATTTCTTTTCTCGCGTTGGCAACAGTTTTCATTTTTAATTGATAGGCTTCGGCGCGCAAGAGCACGTAGTGAGCATCATATGGCTAATCTATATTATATAAAACGCTAATACGTTTTAATTGATAGGCTTCGGCGCGCAAGAGCACGTAGTGTGTATCATATGTCTAATCAGGTGAATTCTCACCGAATTATCAAATACATTCTCACAAAATTATCTTCATCGAAGCCGATGCTTTACATCCGGCGTTCAGTACTATTTAATATTGTTTTACAACACATGGTTTTAGCCCTTTGGTGGGAAAGACTTTAAAGCAAAACTTACAAAAGTTACTTTTCTCAACAACTGAAATTTTGAATAGTGTGATCAAGAAAAATATGCGAACTGTTTTCAATTTCAAATTAATATTGAAATGCACAGGTTTAGAATTTTCTACAGTGAAAAGTTTTCGGAACTTCAGAGTTCAAAAAAGTATACAAAAGCTAGACGTTAAGAACGTATCCAATGAGCGAGTAAAGCGAGTATTGGATTGCGAAGCAATCCGAAATGATTTGCGAAAGCAGTTCCGGGGGTTGGCGAGCGCCAGCGAACAGGGGGCGGAGCCTCCTAGTTCAATATATTCTAATATATAAAATATAGTACGTGCAACATAAATGCATGCATTCTTATTTTATTATTTTTATTTAAGTTCAATATATCTCGAAATAGCTTATATTTTTTTTTTCAAATAATATATTAATAATTTTTGCACACTATATTTATTTTATACTCTCAGTCTCATAATCTCGGTAGGAAAAATGTAGTAATTCCTATCTTTAAAGGCGATGAGTACGATGAATCGCTGATAATAAGGTGTTTGAAATTGATTAATTTGTGAATGAGTTGAACTAACATCATTGAAGAAGCATCTTTTTAAGCAAGTATAGAAATTTAATGATGCATTTCGACAAAACATTTTTACAAGCAGCGAGGAAGGAAGACTTCTCTCTCAATTGAAGACACACGAAGAGAAAGTGAAATTTGAAAAAAGAAGAGTAATAAAACATAAAATATAACATTAATATTCAGACCTTGAAAATATACACGCGATGAGAGTCACATGACATGAGAGTTTCAGTTCTCAGAAACCACACTTCCTGGTTATAAAACAAAGCTTCAGAGATCATTTTATCCAACTTGTTTTATATAAATTAAATAAATATTACGCTACTTAGATATTTTCCTCAAAAAATTAATCTTAATAGCATTGTAATATTGTTACAGAATTTAAACTTATATCAATGTTTAGTTTAGCATATAAAATATGCTACTAAATGGCACCCACGTGTCTTAAAAAAATTCAATGACTGATAGTTAAAAGACACTTGTTCACCACAATGACCGGCAGATTTGTAAAACCTGATAACAATGTATGTTTGTGTAATGTGTTCAAACATTGTTATTGCTAAATCTATTTTCAGAAGGTAACATGATATTAAGCACAGCTGCATCATTCAATGTCAAACATTCTATTTTAACTCAATTCAAGAATAGATATTTCGGCTCGGTTTTTTTTCCTTCATATTACCATATGGGAATAAATATGAAGACGATAAGTATTTCCATATCTCTTCTTGTTTATTTCTTCGCGGTAGTGAAGGGTGATA